GTATCCATATTGAGGGACAAGTTTTGGTACCTACCAACGAGTCCACGCGGTCTTACTGCCCAGAAAACCAGCATGACCATCTTCACGGCCGTGAGAACTTCAAATTTCATATTAATATTATCATCCCAGCTTCTAGGCCTTCTTTCAGTTTTTGCGACTAGAAGTTTATGTCCTATTAATTTATGATCTTCAAAATGTATAAACGACAGAGAAGCTTGGGTGTAATTCTTGGCAGTCTTAAAATATTCTGTACTGAATGAGAATACTTTCAGTAGGCCGTTTCAGTAAGAGGAGAGGTGATGCAGTATGAAGGCCGTGTACCTTATTTTCAGGTAGAAGTCACTACCTGCGCCATTGTATCCTACAGAAGTCGATTTTTAACTCTTCGTTAAGCTTTTTATGCCACTGTAGTTTATCTGCTTGCCATATCAAATTTCAGTAATAAAAATGTTTTGATTATTAAATCGTGTCGTAAAGTGTCCAATGTGAACTTTCATTCATAATACACGTCAATCGATTTGTAGTCGATTCGAGATAATTAATGTTAAAGGGAATAAGGCAAATTGTAATCGGTATGCTATTTGTTATATACCATTCATTCTCTACTACCGATGACAATATTAAACCAGCTTCAGCTCTACATTTCATCACTCGACAGTAAATTGAATTTCAAATATTCAAGACTTCAAGACTAAATTCAGTAGGCCCTACGTGATGTGTGTAAATATGCTTGTCAAGATTGATTGTCTAGCGTCGCGTTACAATCGTTTGTAATAATTCAATTTTAAAATATACGGGAATTCTGAATCCATTACATCATATTTAGAATGTACGTGTGTCATAACTATACGTCACGCCTTCATGGCCTAGGAAGGACAAGTAAGTCTGCTCAGCGGCAGGATGGAGATATTTAAAAATAGTCGCTAGCCTGGGAGCCTCGCGAGAAAAACTTAGTAGTTATAAATTATAGCTATTGAATAGCGTAACATTTCGGTGTGTTAATTTTATTATTGTTGGATATTCCCAGTCACTTTTACATACACTCACTGTTCACTAGTTTTTTAACTACGTGTTTCAACCCATTGTGGCTATCATCAGGTTCGAAATGTACGTTTAAAGTCATTGCACAGCTCTGTATTACTTTAAAACATTCCTGATTTTGTCTGTAGTAATATAAAATTAGTGGTTAAAAATTAGTATTTAATTTTAAAAATATTTAAAACACGTTTATACTGCCGGCAAAGCTTGGTGATTCCTGTTTTTGTGTCTGAGGTGTGTGTCTTTGCAATTTAGTATTTATTAATGAACCCTGTTGTTATTATTTGTTTCTTATTGAACCGAAAATTTGCATGTCAGCATCTGTATATATTGCCTACATATTCTTATTCACCTGCACGGAAGTCTTTAATCAGTTAATTAATTGCGGTTGCAGAACTTCCTCTGTAGTGTGTGAGGACTTAAACATAGGTAGAAAGCCGTATATTAATTAATGAGCCGCGAGTCGTAAGCTGCTTGCGGGCCCTAGTTTTTTCCTCATACTCCTGTCATAGTCTTTTTTCACATTTAAAACAGGAAACCAGTCTTCAGTGAGTTATGTAATCAATACTTAACACGCGATTTCGCTTCTGTTTCATGTAATTGTTCTTAATTTGATGATACACGTTTTTGCAAGACAGTCGGTACGAGTCGTTCATTAACTAAAGCAGTTATTATCACCTCGGGGATCTGGGTTCAAACTCACTGCCGTCTGTGTGCGGATTTGTGATGGACAGACTTATACTGGTTTTGGTATCTTTTCTCATCTACTTGCTTCCCCCTGCCAATCGTCGTTCTGCCAATCATCCACACTCATTTATCTCTGTCTGTGGATGTGTGCGGTCGGTCATCATTTATATCACACCCTCGGATGGGTCCACCCATGAGCCGGCACTTGGCTAGGCTCAGAATGAGCAACTTTACTGATACAATTACGAGCAGTTAGAAAATTGCCCTTCGAGAATGACGAGAAAAATGTAAAGTAGTGCGTCATAAAACATGTTTGTATCGAAAAGTATAACAAATCAGCACATAAAAATTAAAATCGTTGTTTGTCTTTGCTTGTTTTTGAAAGCTGCGAAGCGTTAACACGGAAACAAGTTTTGCTGGCTGCGTCGTACGTTGCAAGCCATGGATGAGTGAACAGCCTTTTGTTTCAGAGCGTTGTTTCCACAAAGCAGAAATGTTATATAACAAAACATTAAAATTAAAATTAAAAAGTACTTATCTTTGCTTGATTAAAATATTAATTTAATGTAATACAGTTTCAAATGCAAACTTATATCGAGGTTAAAATGAATTAAAATAGTTGTTTAAAAATTATCATCAGCCAGCGAGGCCACCAATAACAATTGCCTGTTAAGTACATTGATACGTGGTACTCTGGAGAGGGAGAGAGCGTAGAAAAATACGCGTAGGGCTTTACTCCAGCTTGATGTAGCCTAGACAGAGCTTTGAAATTACGCCAAGCTAGCGATTTTACAGCTCTCATTGGTGCCGTGTTTATTTAGGTTTTTGCGATACAAATGAACATAACACATAGTACACTGCATTACAAACCCACAAATTCTGCCGATGGCATATTAATCGTAACTGTAGGTACTCATTAAACTGTGTGGCATGCATGGGGGAGATATACAGTCCATATAAAATTATAATTACTAAGCCCGAAGGGGAGGGATTACTTTGTTGACGTATTCATACAGAGAAGGATAATATTAAAACGGATCTTAACGAATATGGTGTTAAGGTGTTACTAGATCCAACTGACTTGGGATTCATTTCAGTTGCCGGTTCTTGTGAACGTGATTTTACTTACACATTCCATAATGGCGTAGAATTATTTTCACCAGTTGAGTATCTATCTGGTTTTCATGACTTCTCCACGGAATTAGTTATTGTATTAAGTGGAAGTGAAAATTATATATTCATGTATTTATATATATATATATATATATATATATATATATATACATATATATAAGCAATACCGTAAATATTTCAAATGAAAGTTGTTTAATCACGCTTAAGCTTATATTTCTCGCCAGCTGAGTGGTTGTGAAGACAGGACACAGTTTTGGGTTCGGCCGCGGCATCCCTGAGAATGGTGTGTTCTTGTGTTGCAGGTGATCTGTGTCATCCACTCAACTGCAAGAAGAAAGAATTGTGTCTTCTGGAGGACGCCTTTACGGCCGTGTGCGTCAGTAAGAAAGAGCTGCATAAGAACGGGTGAGTTCCCAAGAAATGTCTGAAATCAGGCAACTACACAAACGCCTTGACAGCGTTCGATAAGTAAAATACATTAATTACAGATGCTATGAGCTGGGATAATAAATATATTAGTAAATGCAGTATATGGGAAGTAAACGCAGAGAAATTTAAATATACGTATGGTCATGTCTCTTCATGCGGCATGTTACTTTTGTGCTGTGGTGTCTGTTGCTAGAGCAGCTCTGGGATTCGATTTTAATGCATTCTGTCTAAATACTGTTCCCATTTTAAAACACATTTAAAATACTTTTTATAGAACCTTTGAGAGTAATCTTTGCAAATGTACTCAGGATTGGATTTGCGCGCTTGGGGACTTCAGCTTTGCGGAAATGTTTGTGTAGTATGACACAAGATAGATGCAAAAAGTGGGCATAATATTGAATGAAGAGAGATACAAATGTTGAGACAGAAAAACAGAACGAATGGAATAGGTCAGTGTGAAACGAAAGAAGTTTGTTGTTGAAAAATGTTGTACGATAAAAATCATATTGTGAAGTCGTATATCGCTCGTTCTACCTTAGCAGTTAGCAAGCTTATATTTATACAGTGCAGTGTGTCTCCTTAGCTGATGTCATGTTGACTACTGTGACTATGTATTGAGCCTCTTAGATTGCTAATTAATTAATGATTTGCTGTGGACTCAATTACCGGCAGGTGTAAGGTTTTTCTCTTTGCCACTGCGTTCAACACAGATCCAAGGGCCCACATGGTATCGAAAAAAAAGCAACCAGAACCTAAATCCGACTGTTCACCTGTAGCTAGTGCTTAGCCAGGAATGCGTCGAGCTTTGACTCCTCTCCACTTATCGTCATGGCGCGATGGTTGCATGTTATTAACAAATTAATTACGCCCTATACCTGCTTATCACGTGCGATGTCAGATTTTAGTAATCAATATCTTTGAGATGTCAAGTTATAAAGCGTCTTGTCTTGTTCTTGTTTGGTTCACAATGCAACCTCTTCTGTACGTAATATAACCTGCCTCCTATTTTCCGTTCCACTACGGGAAGTTTGATCGCACTCCAGAGAGCAGCTTCCCTTTTCTCGTCGTCTCGCAGCAGCAGTTTCCCCCCCACAAGACCTGTCAAAAAACTTGAAACACATTCTGTGTACTTCCTGTCTTCATATGGTAGATACTTAAACGGACTTGGCTAAACTTGTCTTTCGCACGTGTTTAGAGCAAGAGTTTGTGGAACATTTCGGCTTAGATGTGCTGGAAAGGACCGTCCGACAAAAGGAGAGCAGAGGGCTGTGCAGACCTCAGAGTCTGTCAGAGAAAATGCCCACTCGCTTCGTATTTTCAAAGAGAAGAGGCTGTTAGAGAACCCAAGCCCCTTAATGGAGGGAATGTGTGGCTTTTAACTAGAATAGGCTGTAGATTGCTGGAGTGGTCCACTACACAGGAGGCAGGTCCGGCACAGGGTCATTGAGAGTAGATACAACTTGAAGATGAAAGTCTTCTGGATGTTGTGCCGTACAGTCTCGCAGAACGTGATTAACGTTTCAGAGGTAATTACTCCCTCCATCATCAGGGCGTCCTTACACACCGAAGTACAGAGGAACATCTGTGAAGAGAATCAAGTACGATATCTCAGACCATTTTAAATGGGACAACTACATAACCATAACATACTCGACCGAAGCGCTGCTGTGCTGTTGTATGCTACAAGGATTAGTGTAGTGGAGGAAGATATTTGACGGGCCATAAATCCTCACTTAAGTGACTTGTGTATTGAAGATTCTCAAGCCTCGTTTTATGTGAAAGAGATTTGCCTGTAGTTTTCAATCGGCACTATGATGAACTCCCAACGTGCTGTAGTTTGCTTTCTAAGCTAATTTGATTGGAGCCTGGTACACCAAAAAGTATAATCTGTTAATAAAAAAGGGCTTCCTCCTCTGTCTTGATCTCGTCTCTCTCCAGTTTCCAAAGAATCGCCAAGGTATTGTAGTTTTGTGGTGACGTTAGGAGAATAAACACACTCTCTGAATGCTCGGTATCTTTCAGTTCAAAACTCTTTACCACCCAGTTTGGTTCCGGAAACAAACGTTGGATCTTGGAATAGGAAGATATTTAGGGCATTACACATGGGGAGCTTTATGATTTGTGGATGGGACACAAACGTTGTACCGGCTAGTCGATACTCCGTTCGACCAGTCTGTTATATGAGAATTACACGTGTATTGGGCGAGACTGCACATTCCAGAAATCCGGGAATGCTAGTATTAACATGCAGCGTGTAATGATATACGATCGTGACTTGGTGAACACTGCAGGCCGTCCTATGGCTTGCCTCGAGTATAGGGCGTTGGAGAAAATATTCACTCACAGCTCCTGGTTCAATTTGAGTGAAGGTACTAATTAACTGTATGTTCACTGCCAAATGTAATTAATCAGAAGAAGTATTTGTTAAATACCAATGGCCCAGCGGTCTTAAGACCTGGGTCTTGTCTTGGCCGGTATAACATTGGAATCGTGAGTTCGAATTCCACTCGAGGCATGGATGTGTTTCCGCGCCTTTGTCTGCTGTATTATCCTGTGCTGGTAGAGGCCTTGCAGTGCGTTAGCCCCTTCAACCCTCCGTCCAAGGAGTACTAAGAAATGTCGAAGAAGGTTCTAGTCTGGTTGAAAAATCTTTCAGAATAGGTCAAGGCTCTGAGTGGGCTACAGTGTATAAAATATACACATATATTAATTACTCTCCGAAGCACCCTGTTGTTACAGCATGGGGAAACATGGAAACAGCCACATAGTCGAACCTCTTGTTCTGTCAGCACCCAGTGAGAGCATGTTGTAGTGGTAGCGTGATTTTACCCCTAGGAACTCCGTACAACTAGATCAAATCCCCCGACACATTGCCAATGTTTGTGGTGATGTGCGTATTACTTTTCTTTGGGATAGACGTAAGACTATTGTGTTCATGCTCCACTCGCAGAGTAAAATAGTTCTGTGAGAAATTTCAGTAATGTTTATCATGCTGTGTTGTAATGTACTGCAGACGCCCTTGCAGGGATACCAGGCAAAACTATTTTATTTTCTGTTTATGGTGCAATACAGAATGCATGCTAATTCCACGGGGGTCTGTCACATGATATTTTTTTTAACTTGAGAAGGTTATTGAGAGATTATTATAAACTCAGTTCTATTCAGAAATACAGGTACTGTTTTCAAGTGAATACCTGCCATACGCTCTAAGTTAAAAAAAAATACATTTTCGCTTACTGTCCACTACATTGTGAATTTTTTTCTGCTGCCGTCGGAAAAGATGTTAATAGCCATTGAGACCCGCCATAATGAAAAGGCTGCCGACCGCTGTCCAAAAGTATTCACTTCAACTTTCTTTGTTCAGAATATTGACCAGAACACTTTCTGCTCAGACCCTTAACCTGCATTGTATGTTCTTTCCACATAATAAGGCCACCGGTACAAAACTTCAGGCATAGTTATTGTATCCTATACTCCGATTTCCGACGGTGTGGTAAGTTTTCGAGCTGACTAATAATAAGCATTGCCAGAGTTCATATCCGAATTTCGTCATGTACCTCATTTCTGTCTGTCATTCTGATCTATAATTAAACATTAAACGATTCAAATAGCCGATTACGAGTATATTCCCTTAGGCAGGACATGTTAC